GTCCAGGGCCGTGGCGAACGTCTTGTACTGTTCCTTGAAGCGTTCGGCCACTGCCTCAAAGGGACTGAGCATCTCGATCTGCAAGCAGGACGGAAGGGGGCTGTGGGAGGGGACCCTGCGGTCACCAGCCCCGAAGTTTAAGGGCTGGTGCAAGGTTAAGATACGGCACTGCTCTTCCACGGGCCCCAAGGGGATCAGAGCTCAGGAGGCTTCTGAGGGTGCGGGGGGGCAGGTGTTTGCTCTCCCCTCCCGGCAACGGCCCACCAGACAGTAGGGTGGCCCAGGCTCCTCACCATGGACACGTGTCCCGTTCACTGTTCCGGGCCTGGGCCCTCGACTGGGATCACAAGGGACCCAGGAAGGCTGGGCCTTCCTGCCTTGGAGCACTTCACTTACATGGCTGCCTTCCCAAGGCCAGCCTGGCACAGTCCACCCCTGCCCCACAGGTGCTGCCTGGGTCTTCATGGGGGTTTGTGACAATATACAGTTGACCCTTGAATAAACTGGGGGTTAGGGCTGCCACCTCCCTCTCCCCACCCCATAGCAGTAGAAAATGCACATATTACTGTTTTTGTTTTGGAGAAAGAGTCTCACTGTCGCCTGGGCTACAACACAATAACGCAATCACAGCTCACTGCAACTTCAAACTCCTGAGCTCCAGCGTGGCTCCTGCCTCAGCCTCCCAAGTACCTGGCACTATAGGTGCGCCACCACCATGCCCAGCTCATTTTTCCATTTTTTATAGAAATAGACCAGCTCTTGCTCAGGCTGGTCTCAAACTCCTGGCCTCAAGTGATCCTCCTGCCTCGCCTCCCAAAGTGCTAGGATTATAGGTATGAGCCACCGTGCCTGGCTGTGTGTAACTTTTAACTCCCCCTAAATTTAACTACTAATGGCCCACAGTTGACCAGAAGCCTTACCGATAACAAACAGTTAATTAGCACATTAACAGACTACTATGTATGTATATTTTATACATTCATGATATACCTTCCTCTTAATTTTTTCAATACTTCTAGGCCATGAGGTTTATCTGTGAGTTTTTTCAAGTTGTCGCAAATCCCCAACAAATTTTCCAACGTATTTGTTGAAGACAACCTATGGATAAGTGGACACACGTAGTCCAAACCCACGTTGAAGGGTCAACCGTACTTGCTCACTTGAGCGTCTTTTCTTTTCCTTCCTCTGTGAGCTCCACAAGGTCAGGGGCCCTGGTCTGAGCCGAGGGCCTGACTGCAGGGCTGCTCACATGAACGTGCTGGGCATTAAGGGTTCAACTGTGTCCCCCCAAATTCATATCTGACGTCCCGACTCCCAGCACCTCAGGATGTGCCCTTATCCTGACACAGGGTCTTTATAGGGTCATCCAGTTAATGCGAGGTCACGAGGTGGGCCCTAATCCAGTAAGACTGGTGTCCTGAGGGGAAATTCGGACACAGACACGCACACGGGGAGGACACGCAAAGAGACACAGGGAGAAGATGACACAGACGCACATCCAGAAGCCAAGGAGAGGGGCCTGGGACAGATCACCCCTCACAGCCCTCAGGCAGACCCCCCGCCCTCCCCGCGCGGCCAAAGCCCCGATCTTGGACTTTCAGCCTCTAGAACCGCGAGAGAATGAACTGCCATGCTGCTTGTTACAGCAGCCGCAGGAAACTCACACACTGGGCAAGGGGGCCCGTCCCCCGGCCGGTCCTTTCTGGGTTCCCAGGGTTTGCTCCGTGTCGTTCCCCAACGTGGACACCTCTGTGCCAGCGCCGACCACACGGTGCCAAGACTGGCGTGTCTCCCACCAGCCCACCGACCCTCCAGGGCCGGCCGAGACCATGTCTTCCTGTCACTGCACACAGTGGGGATCAGGAGGCGCTCAAGGAACATTTGCACAAGTGAGCGGAAGGCACCGGTCCGCCTCACTGGCTGGCACGTTACGTTATAACCTCATTCTCTGGGAAACTGTCACAGACCAACACCTGGACCAGAGTGTGGGTGACAGCAAAAGCCCAGCAAAGAGTTAGAAGTGAGCGAGCAGCGACATCCTATCACGAACGCTCCCAGAAACGGAGGGAGACGGCCCCACGGGAATGCTCAGCTCAGAGCCCCCGGTCACAAGTGTGGCTGACAACCGACCTGGGCGTCAAGGGCCTCCTCCAGCTCCCGCTTCTTCCGACAGAGGAGAAGTCTGCGCTTCAGCTCGTGCGTCTTTTTCTGTAGGTCCTCCTTCTCTTCGCACAGTTTTAGTAAATGTTTTTCCGCCTCTTCTTCGAACCGAGCAAGACCGTTCTCCATCTGTGCAACGAGAAACGAAAGCTCAGGCTGGAGGGGACGCCCTCCCGGTGGTTAATGGAGGCCGCCTCGCACGTCACACGTGATCGAGGAACGGTTCTCACCTTTACCGCCAGCAGAGTCAGCAGCAGCGTCTGGGACTCCATCATCTCCATCTCTTCCGACAAGCTCTTCAGAAGAGGAAAAAGACCCTTTCAGTTCCCGATGAATTGCTGTGAACCCAGCAGGGGCAGAACCGTGACTCGCGTTTTCTGCGTTAATTTGATAATCGGGGAATCCTCTACTGTACGAGGCCCTGCTGCTTCTGTTTTCCCACGTGTTTAGTCTTTCCCAGCACCCTGTGAGAAGGAAGAGGGAGGTCTGGCCCTCCCACTGCACCAGGCAGGTGAAGGGGTGGCGGCAGCAGCCAGGCGAAGGCCAGCTCAGAGCACCCAGCGACGCGGTGCTGTGCCGGCACCAGCACTCGCCGTAGGTCCTGGCCTCACCCGGGTAGCCCTCAGCCCAGCTGTCCTCCTGCCAGCGCTGGGCCTCACGTCTTCCCTAGCGCGGCATCGGCACAGAGAAGGCTGCCATCTCCCTTTCGCACGACCCCGTGTTGGTTTCTACTGCTGTGTGTGCACTCGGGGAAACACAAACTCTACAAATGATCTAAGAACGTTTGTGGTCTTGATTTTTATCCTAAGGGGCACGGCTGTCTTGTTTGCTCTAGGAGCCCTGGGGCCTCAGGTGACACCTGGCAGAGGGCAGGAGCAGAATCAGATTTATGCAACCTGTTCAGGGCAACCCCTTCATCCCAGACACTTACTGGGCTCTTTTTCCGAGGGGCAGAAAATGACGTCGACTCCGTTTTCTCTGACGTTGTTTTTTCTAATTGTGGAGTCTTTCTGACGGTACTTTTCTCTAAGATAAAGAAGAGCATTTCAATGGTGAGCAATGCATACAGAAGGTCCCTGATTTATATTTTGACTTTGCAATGGGTTTATTGGGATGCAACCCCATCGTAAGTTGAGGAGCATCTGGACTTACAATGGTTCAATTTAAGATTGTCCCACTTTACAATGGCTTTATCGGGGCATTAAATACATTTTTGACCTATGGTGTTTTCAAGTTATGATGGATCTTTTGGGATGCGACCCCACCGCAAGTGAAGGAGCATCCGTACTTTGGGGGTCTGCTGAGATCTGCCGCAACCCCCAGCTAGTGACAGAAGGGGTGAAACGAACAGCTCACCGTTAATGGCAGAGAGATCCAGGTCAGGTGGGGCCGAGCCGTGCCCTTCCAGCAACGTGGACTGCAGGTCGCCCTTTCCGCCCCCACTGCGATCTGCCGTCCAGACGAGAATCCCGGAAAGTCAGCACAGTCAGTGGGGAAACGCAGGCAACTTTTGTTAACAATACCACTTCTCTCCAAAACCCCAATTTCTTCCTAGTAGCAGAAGGGACTGAAAAACCTGTGGAAACCCCCAGCCAGCAACTTGAGTGTATTTTGAAAGTACAACTAGAAAAGGGACATTCTTTATAACTACAAAAAAAAAAAGATGGAAATAGGCCTTTCTACTGGTTTAGAAGATGCTGAGAGCCAGAGACAGCACCACCAGCTTGCTCTGCCCTCCGTGCTCTTGGCTGCTTTCTCCTGCAGCTTCCGGACTATTCATCTGCCCTGGGAGTTCCCTTCACCTTTGACCCTGTATTCGAAACCGTGAAATCTTGCTTTATACTGTACAATCGGTGCCAGCGTGCAGCACGCTACAGCTACACAAGGGCTCCAGAGTTCTGCAAACGTCAGCAGGTGATATGTGTGACACTCTCTCGTGTTGGGAACTGAGCATGAACTGCGCAGCTGGGGGAATGAATGACCTGGAAACGCAGAGAGCCTCACGCAAAGAGCTGCCCACGGTTGCTGCAGAGGCACGCGCGTGAGGACCTGGACAAAGAGCTAGGGTGTGGTGCCACGCCAAGGAGGGGCTTCCTAGACTTCGTGACTGAGCGTGCTGACTAGCCTTGAACGCCAAATACACCAGCGGCAACTGTCGGAGTGGGCAGAGCATGATTGAGGTCCCCCAACCTGGTCCCCATTTTCCATTTTTTATAATGAATGCGTGTCACATCCACAATTAGGAAAACTAAAAAGACTTTCGTATCACTTTGGTGACAACTTCTAGAAGGAGGGGTTAGGACAGACCACCATAGCTGCTGGCGCAGAAGGCAAGGAAGGCAACCCAAGGTGGTGAGAGGAGGGAGGATAAGGCCTCGCATCCTGGGAGTGCTGCTCTCAGAGTGCCAGTGGGGAAACTGTCACGTAGACAAGGAACTGATGCCACAAGGGAGCGCCATGGTGGCAACGTGGCTCTTCTCTGGGACTACACAGGGCAGAAGTGACCTCCCGACTTCCCAGCCATCCCCTCAGCTCCCCACAAGCCCCCCATCTGTCCTTACACTCAAACTCTTTGATAGCAGCTCTGACCCCTCCCAGAAAGGAGAGAGGGAGCTCCAACGTGGCACACGTGGAAACAGAGTTCACCACCACGCACGTCACTCCCCGAGGGTTGGGCTGCTTCGTACCTTTGCTTTTCTGGAGCTGGCTGGGTCTCTTTCCACCTCCAGGTGTGTTCCCGCCGGTCTTTAAGGAATCTGTTGCAGGAGCCTGCTACAGGAACACACGACATTCAGAGGGCAAGACACCTGCCCGTCAGGAGAAGAGCCCCTGACGCAGTCTATGTTGCTTTCTGTAAATGTTCTTACTCTGAGGCAAGGGAGAGATTGAAAGAGTTTGGAAATTTTATCTCATATACACAGGACAAATTTTTTCAAAAAGTAGACACACGTGCGCAGAGCATAGGAAACCTGGTGTCTGCTGGTGATTATTGCTAACATGGTAGATTACAGGTGACCGACTTTTCTGGATACTTTTCACTATCTGCTCGTTTTCTAGAAAGAATATATTACCTTGGTCATCAGGAAAAACAAAGTTTTTATACAGGTATTAATTGTCAAAGCTTATAAAAAGCAAGCAACACATGCAGTACTGCCCTTATGATAACCAAAAGTAAAAGGAAATTCTTACACAGGGCAAGAATATTACAAGGTACAGACACCACTCCTATTCGACATCACAGTGGAGGTCCTAGAACAAAACGCAAAAGGCAAACAGGTTGGAAAGGGAAAAGTAAAACTCCCTTCCTACAGACAGGATTCTTCTTGTAGAAAATCCCAAACATCTTCAAAACTGCTCTTAAAACGAGTAAGTTTAGCAAGTGTAATGGTTAACGTTGTGTGTCAACTTGACTGGCCATGGCGTGCCCAGATCAGCCCTTGCGGGGTGTGGCTGTGAGGGTGTTTACTGAGCAGATCAGCATTTGAATTGATGGACTCACTAGATCACCCTCGCCAGTGTGGACAGGCACCATCCAATCCCCTCAGGGCCTGAACACAACAAAAAGATAGAGAAAGGCGAAACTCACCCCTTTTGCTTCTTGCCTGTCTGGGTTGGGGCATCTCATCTCATCTTCTCCTGCCCTCAGACTGGCATTTACGCCACTGGCCCCCTGGTCTCAGGCCTTCAGTCTCAGACTGGATCACACCACCAGCCTTTCTGGCTCTCCAGCTCACAGACAGCACAGCCTGGGATTTCTCAGCCTCCAAAATCACTGAGCAAAAACCTTACAAATAAATCTCCTTTTATATATTTATATCCTTTTATATACCTTTCCTACCAGTTTTCTTTCTCTGGAGCACCGTGCTAATACAGCAAGGTTGCAGGATACAGGTCAACATAAAAAAAAAAAAAATTTTCTAGCAATGAAGTAGCAATGAACACATTTGGAGAGTGAAATTTAAACAAGGAGTACCATGTACAATAGTACCAAACACCACCAAATACTTAGGTATAATCCCAACAAAATACGTGTAAGATCTCTACTGTGGAAACTACAAAACGGTGTTGAAAGAAATCCAAGATGATCTACATCAGTGGACAAGCACACCATGTTCATGGATTGAAAGACTCCGTGCTATTAATAAGGATTCTCCCTATGCTGATTCATGATTCAATACAATCAAAATCCTAACAGTTTTGCCAAAAAATGACAAGCTAATTCTGAAATTTCTATGGAAAGGCAAAGGAACTAGAAGAGACTAAACAGTTTTGGAAAAGAACAGTGGGAGGTCTCACACTACTTGATTTCAGGGCTCAGTACAAAGCTGCAGTAATGTCGGTAGCATAGAACCACAGAAAAGAACACAGTCCAGACGTGACGCACGCACATGCAGTCAAGTGGTTTTTGACAGAAATGATGACAAAATGATTTCATTTGAATAAATAGTGTTGGAACAACTGGACATCCATACACCAAAAATCGAACTTCAATTTCAATATTGCACCATACACAAAAAGTAACTCAACATGGTCAACAGACATACGTGTAAAACCTAAACTATAAAACTACAAGAAGACATAGGAGAATGCCTTTGCGATCTTGAATTACACAGAGATATCTTAAATAAGACACCAAAAACACATATCCACAAATGCAGAAATTGATCAACTATACTTCATCAAAATCGACCAGTTCTACTCCTCAGAAGACACTGAATAGAATGAGAAGACAAGCCACAGACTGGAAGAAAAATTAACTGCAAAGCACATAAAGAGCTGGTATCCATAATACAGAAATAACACTCAAAGCTCAATAATAAGCAAATACCCTAATTTAAACATAGGCAAAAAATTTGGACACATCACCAAAGATACAGAAGTGGCAAAGCAGCACATAAGAAGATGCTGAGATAGTCAGCTATTACAGAAATGCAAATTAAAACCACAATGAGATCCCACTTCACACCCTCTAGAATGGCTAAAATTTAAAAATACCAACCTGAACTCTCCCATGTGCCTGGGGAGAACGTAAAAATGGTCCAGCCACTTTGGGTAACAGTTGGGCATTTTCTTGTGGTATTATACACATTCACACGTGTATATACACAGTGGTTTTTGTCCATGGTTCCTGGCTCATAACTCCCACAGCCCCTGTTACAGGAAACAGACTCTTCTCTGACCTCCCCCTGCCACCCTTTCACCTGCCAGGGCTGGTCCCACCCCACCCCCTGGAGGAAGGATGCTACACAGAGAGGCCAAGAAGAATCTGAGCAGGACTTGCTGGGTTTAGATCACACCCCTTCTGCCCAATCACATTTCGACATGCTTCACCATGCCTCAACCATGCCTACACAATGAGGCTCCCAAGAGGACGAGTTTGGAGAGCTTCCAGACAGCTGGACACGCGTGGGTTCCAGGAAGGCAGTCAGCCCAGAGGGGGCTTGGAAGCTCTGCACCCCTTGCTCCATACCACACTTCACACGTCTTCACCTGTATCCTTTGTTTTCCTTGTTTTTTTTTCTTTTTAGTGACAAGGTCTTGCTCTGTGATCCAGGCTGGAGTGCAGTGGTGCAATCATAGCTCACTGAAACCTCAAACTCCTGGGCTAAAGCATTTCTCCCACCTCAGCCTCTTGAGCTGGGACCACAGATGCACACCACCACACCAGCTAATTTTTAAAAAAATATGTTAGAGATGGGGTCTCGCTATGTTGCCCAGGCTGGTCTCGAACTCCTGGCCTCAAGCTATCTTCCCACCTCAACCTCCCAAGTAGCTGATCACAGACATAAGCCACCCTGCCCAGCTCAATCTGTGTCCTGTGGAATATCCTTCATGATAAACCAGTAAAGGTGATTCCGAGTTCTGTGAGCCACTCCAGCAAAGTAATTGAGCCCAAAGGGGGTTCATGGGAACCCCAATTTGAACCCAGTCAGTTAGAAGTTCTGGAGGCTCAGACTTGTGATTGGTGTCTAAGGGGGGGGATGGCAGTCGTGGAGACTAAGCCTTTGACCTATGGGATCTGAGCCATCTCCAGGTCCACAGTGTCAGAGCTGAATGGGGGACACCCAGATGGTGCCTGCTGCTTTTGGTGGGAAACCCCATTTCTCGCACTGGTCACAGATGGATTCCGTGTTGACTGTTGGCTGTGCTGAGTGAGAGAATAGGAACCGTGGTTTGAGTTTTGCTGTGAGCCAGCAGTCCTACTCTTGGGAGAAATGAAAACACATGCACACAGGAACACGCACAGGAATGTTCACAGAGCTTTGATCATAATCACCAAAACGGGAAACCAACCAAATGCCTTTCACTTGGTGAACAGACGAACACACCATGGTCCCTCCATTCAATGGAATATTCCTCAGCCATAAGAAGGAACCGACAACTGTTCCATGCAATGACACAGAGGGACCTGAAATGCACTCTGCTCAGCGTTACGAGGCAGATGCCAGAGGCTACGTACAGTGTGGCACCACTGATGTGACCTTCTGGAAAAGGCAAAACTGCAGATTCAGAAAGCACATCTGTGGTGGCCTGGGGTGGGAGAGGGGCCTGCTCCAGCAGAGCACAAGAGGACTTGGGGGTGACCTGTTCTGTATCTTGATTGTGGAGGTGGTTCCGTGACTGTTTGCGTTTGTCCAAACATGCAGAACCCTACACTGAAAAGGGTGACACTCTGTAAATTACACTTTGATTTAAAAAAATGAGAAAAAAAAAAAGACAAAAGAGAAAAGCTCTTTTAAGATCTATAATATTACAGCGTACACACAACACACGGGGGCATTATGACCAAGTTCTCACAGCAACATTAAAATCGGGCCAATAGAGGATTGTGGCCCTTTGCTGAAAACTACTCCACGACGACCATCGGTCTGTGCGAAGACATCCTCTCTCCTCCAGCCGGACCTTAAGTCACAGTGTTAGGGACCTGCCAGCCACCCTCCCTAGAGTGGAAGACAGGCAGCAAACATGAACACTTGACTCGATTTTATTTACCATAAACCAAGATTGGGAAAATGAGGACTAATCCAACCTTGACTTCACTGGAAGGAAATTGGGTAATCTGCTGATGGTTTTCACGAAACCTCACGCAAAGCCTGTTCTTGTGGTTAAGTATGTCTCATGCCGTTACTTTCAACAGTTTCACAATAGATAGTTCATGGTTGGTTACATGACAGATCACTGATTCTTCCTCTAATATTGGGGATTCAAGCATGCTTTTTCCCATAGTTTTTCTCTACAAACCTGCAAGTATTTTTTAAATGCCAGCCACGCACCAAGGACTGTGCGCTGGGCATTGGATAAGGCAGCTTCAAAGTCCAGAAAGTGAACTATTGGGTTGAAAGGCAAGAACAAGTCTATGCTTCCACAGAGATCACAGCTTTGTAAGGAGGCTTAAAGCAGTGGGCTGCTGACGACAGAGACGCCAACTCGCATGAAGAGCCAACAATCTAAAAAGCACCTGGACGAAGGTCCTGGACCCACTTCCTTCGGGACCAGTTGTGACCGGCTTGCCTGAGTGTTTCGAAATTACAGTTACTGAGAACCATGCTCAGAACTGCTTCGAGCATACACCGAGCACTGTATTACCTTCCTGGTTGTTTTCTTCTCGTAGTCCAAGTAGCGGGACTCAACCACTTTTCCACCTGTGGGGGACACACTGTTGGTTTATAACAAAACTGCTGTCATGGCCTGGGAAGACCCAACACACCCAGACCCCACACCCACCCAGGACCCCACATCCCAGAGAGCCAGAGGCTGTGACTCTCCCTATTTGGTGACAGGAACAGGAGTCACTGCTCCCCTGCTCCTCTCTGATCCTGTCCTTCGGCAGCCTCAGGCATGTATGGGACACCCACTATATGCAAGAACATTTATGGGACACCTACTATATGCAAGCCCCAAGCCAGGGGTGGAACCACAGAGTAGCAGAAGAGCCAAGATCAAGGAATATGCTCCAGGGAACATGCCTGAAGGTCAAAGCAGCAAGTGCACTTGGGGTGGGGAAGGGGAAGGAAGAAAGAACTTTCCCCAAGTTTGCTTCCTCCAGCTCGGTCCCTGTGGGTGTGACCCCAGCAGCCCTTCCCCTGTCTCAGACCCACTCCTGGTCCCACCTCTCCTCACCTACCTCCAGCTCAGGACCCTCCCCTGAGACATGCTCCACCCACAGGCCCCCTGCAGACACAGCCAAATCCCTGGTGACCTCACCCCAGGTCCCCTTCCAGGGCGGCTCCTGCGAGGCTGAATGTGGATGGAGCAAAGGCCACCTGTCACCCCATCCTAGGGGGTGGGCGTCTTGACTGGGCTCAGCCAGTCCTCTGTTCTGTCCCCCACCCCTCGCCCAGACCCCTCCAGCTCCTGTGCCTCCCCCACCACCTCCCCCAGTCTCAGCTGCTGCCTGTTTCCTGCTTCACTGGGAGGACAGAAGCAGGCCCAGGAGACCCTCCCACCACTGCATCCAGCCCCCTCGAGGCCAGAAAGCCATATCCTGCCCCCCCGTGGACGGACCTCTGTGATCCTGAGTAGAGTGAACTGTCCATTCTGGGCGCTAGAGCCCAGCCCTCACCCCCAAAGGAAACACACAGCTTCCGTCCAGCTTCAGACTCACCCCTGCACTGAACTCTTTTGGGCCAGACCACCAGGACCTCCCCACTCCTGAGCCCACGGGCCACCCTCAGTCCTGGTCATAGGAGCCGTCAGCACAGCCATCAGTAGCTCCCTCCTCCC